GAAAGAAAGAAAGAAAGAAAGAAAGAAAGAAAGAAAGAAAGAAAGAAGAAAGAAAGAAGGAAGGAAGGAAGGAAGGAAGGAAGGAAGAAAGAAAGAAAGAAGAAAGAAAGAAAGAAAGAAAGAAAGAAAGAAAGAAAGAAAGAAAGAAAGAAAGAAAGAAAGAAAGAAAGAAAGAAAGAAAGAAGGAAGGAAGGAAGGAAAACACAGACAAAGAGAGACAGAGAAAGGGATGGTCGGAAGACAGAGACACAGAGAGAGACCTGAAAAAGAGCAAGGAGAGCTAGGGATAAAGGCAGCCTTTGAGCCCCAGCCCCAGTGAGCAGCAGAAAAGGATGTGAAACTGGGCACCTGAGTGGGAGAAGAGTCAACCTCCTGCCCCCTCTCTCCCTACATGATCCTTGCTAGAGCACTGCTAATTTCTAGACAGCACCACTTTCAGATATGAGTATCCTGGAGACGTCTATACTATTTCTATTGTCTTGCCCACTGCTTTGCCCTGTCCCCACCCATCACCATTCCTGAAGAGCTGAAAGTGGACTGTATACAGATAATACACAAAAGCCATGATTAAAACAAGCAGTACAAGATGAAATATGCATGCCTTTGACCTAACATTCCCACCTCTAGGAATTCATCCTAAGGACAATAATTAAGGACATAGGGGAAAAAAATTAGCACGAGATTATTCCCTACAGCATTGTTTAGAAAGAGCAAAGAAACAACCCCTACTGGGCACCTGCTCAGCAAATAATGGTACAACCTTACAAAAGCTTTCTGTGCTGCTTGTAAATTGGGTTATAAATAGGTACTTACTGATGTGGAAAGACATGATTTATTAGGTTAAAAAAAAACAAAGCCAAGTTACAAAATAATGTATATAGTATGACTTCATGTAAATACTCTTCTAAGTAAGAATACATATAAAATATATAGTCTAGGAAGACATAAGTGAGATGTTGATCTCTGGTTGAAGGGATTCCCTCCAATCCAAAGATTCCACTTTAATTTTTTCTTTTTGCATATTCTGCATTTTATTTATTTATTTATTTAATTTGTTTTATTTGAGACAGAGAGAGAACACAAGCTGGGGGAGACGGACAGAGGGAGAGGAAAAGGGAGAAGCAGACTCCCCGCTGAGCAGGGAGCCCGATGCAGGGCTCGATCCCAGGACCCTGGGATCATGACCTGAGCAGAAGACAGATGCTTAACCGACTGAGCCACCCGGGTGCCCCCATATCTGCATTTTTAAAAATTATTTTTCCCCGAAGGAACATATATGTCTTGTGCAATGGGAACAAATTTCCTTCCATCCGTCCCAGCGAGCATCTCCTGTGGGGAGTCCAGGTGTATAGGGGCAAACTGAACCAGGTGCTCCTGGCTCAGAGGCATTGTGGGAAAGGCCACCAACCCATGCAAGGCCACTCAAACTGCCCAGTAAGAATTCCAAAAACCAGGCGCTTGGGTGGCTCAGTCGTTAAGCCCCTGCCTTCGGCTCAGGTCATGATCCCATGGTCCTGGGATGGAGCCCCACATCTTGCTCCCTGCTTTGCAGGGAGCCTGCTTCTCCCTCTCCCACTCCCCCTGTTTGTGTTCCCCTCTCACTTTCTCTGTCAAATAAATAAATAATTAAAAAAAAAAAAGAATTCGCAAAACATCATGTCCCCCACTAGTTTGACTCTCCATCCTAACTGGTCTTGTGAGGCCAGAACTCAGTCACCTAGCCCCTTGGTATCCAAATGCTCAGCTGCTTTGTAACTACATAAGGAAGGTGAGTTGGACATCGCCCTCCCTTGAGGGAAAGTGCAGTCAGTACAAGTTGGCACACGGTAAAGCTAAGCTTGCTAAAATCGCAGGGACTTCCCACCTCCCAGGAGCACCCTCCCCTGTAACAGGGTGAAAGCCAAGATGCTCTGTCGCTCAGGTCAGTCCCTACTACACATATGCAGTTGTGATTCTGAATGTTGGTGAGGGAGAGGGGGAAAAAAAAGGCCGTTACTATGGCAACCCAGGCTCGCTCAGCCTCTGGGATCAGTCCAACATGCAGGGAAAGAAGGTGGGGTTTAGAGTCAGAACAAACAGGGCCGGGCTGTCTGACCTCGGGCGAGGCACTTAGCTTTTCTCTGCCTCGGTTTCTACATCTGTAAAATGATGCTGAAGCCCTTTATCATACCCGCCTCCAGGATTAATGAGGACTTACCCGTGAACTATAAAACATGGAAGGAGGAGCGCGGCCCTGGCTTTGGTTTGTCTCCAAATTGCTGTGTGTGACTTTGGGCAAATCATTTAACCTCTCTGTGCCCCAGCTGCTCTATTTGTAAATGGGAAAATAATGTCCGCTGTGATGACTTCCCAGGTATATTGTCAGGCACCCGTAAGAATCCTGGAATCTCCACGTTGGAAGGAATCTTCACACTCAGGCAGGAATCCCTTTGAGAAGTTCTCTGACTGAGGTACTTGTCCCACCTCTGCTTGATTACCTCCAGTGGCAGAGAGCTCATAACCACTCAGCTTCCCAAATAACCATTGCTACATGACACTAATTGTAAGAAAGTTCTGTATAGGATGTTTTACAGATAAATATTCATTTTTTAAAAATTAGCAATCCTTTTCAGAGCTATTGCTACTTCTGATTTCGCCGGAGGGCTTGCACAGAGTAGAAATTAGCAGCAATTGGCTAGGAGCAGGTACAGGTCCGGCTCTAGAAGCCTGTGGCTTAGTGTCGTGAAAGGAGTATGGGTTCTGGGGTCACACACTCTAGGTTAAAATCCCACTTTGTTCACTTGCCAGGCGGTTGACCTTGGGCAAGTTATACTATCTCCCCAAGCCTCAGTCCCCTGATCAGTGAAATGAGGCTAGAAATGCCTACCTCATAGTGTTGCTGTGAGAATCTGGCATGATAGCAGTTCTCATCGAGCTTATGGCCCTAACTTCCCCAGGGGAATTCTGGGGACTGGGGTGGGGACAGGTTACACCTTCCCCTGCGATCCCTTTAACAACACATCTGCCCTCCAAGCCCCATCTGGCACATGTAGGCCCTCATGTGACCTGGCTGTACTTCTCTCAGAAAGAGGGAGAAGGTTCCTCTCCCAGTCCTGGAAACACCTGCAGCTTGGCCTGGCATGGCTTGTGCTCCATACCTCACGGCCTTCCCTCTCTCGGGCCTGTGCCAGGGGCTCTAAAGGGAAGATGGATGCAATGGTTTCAGGATCACCCCTCCCTGTAAGTCACCTGCCTCAGGGCCAGTCCCCCTTCCCTGCCCACAGGCTTGGTGGGCACTAAGCAAAGTGTCACAGGGTGTCCCTTGGTGACGGCTTTCAACCGTATCCGTGTTTTAATAGGAATCTCACATGAGGCAAAAAACCTCCGAGACCCCAAAAGAATGTAGTCTGGTGGTAGATTTCCAGGCAAGTTGGGGAAAGATATTGTGGGGTAGGCCAAGTGGTCCTTTGTGCTCAGTATGAAGGGGGTCAGGATGCTTGGGTCTAGTTCTGCCATCGACGAGCTGTGGGCTCTCTGGAGCCAGTGACTTAATTCTGTGCCTTGCTTTCCTCATGTGCAGAATGACAGGTTGATTCCTGAGACCAACCCTGCTTCAGAATTCTAGGGGCTTCCCATCTGTTGGATGCAGGATGAGGTGGCCAGGGGCTGGATTTTCCCATATTTGACAGAAAGTGTAGAATACGGACCCTGTGACATTGGTACCTGGAACCGTGAATGATGATGGCGACCTTTAAAGTCATCTAGGCTAGTGTACTCTCCTCTCTGCTTCCTCCACAGATGAGTACCTCAGAGTCCTCAATGTAGGTGTCTCGGAGGTGAAGAAATCCTTCCTGGGGCCCTTGTCACCGTCCTGCAAGATGGTGCAGATGATGCGGCAGTTTCTGTACAGGGTCCTGCCCGAGGACTCCTACAAGGCGGCCACAGGGAAGCTCCACGTGTCCCTCACTCGGTTCACAGATGGAGAGAGTGTCGTGGTTTCAGAGTACACATCCAAGGAAGAGCTCATCGAGGCAAGGGGCAGGACCCAGGGTGCAGGTCCCAGTTTGTGGGAACAGCCCCCCATTCTGTCCCCTCCCATCCAATGGCTCTTGATAAAAGGACTGAATTATCACCAAATGGGTAATCACATAGGAAAGGGTGCTCTGTGCACCATTTTGTGCTCATTAATATAAATCTTAGTTGTGAGTTATTATTGTTGGCAAGTGCTGTGGATATGCCCAGTTTTCTTTCAAGACAAAAAGGTTAAGTGGCATGACCCTCCTCCCATATCTCCACTCCTCTCTCCTCTCCCAAATACAAGGCCCTTACCACATAGCCTCACAGCTCCACGCTGGCATGCCATGATCCTGGGGGTGGGGAATGGATGGGCAGTAGGCATGGACACCTCCATAACCTACCTCATGTCCCCCTGGATTTATTAGCACTCAGCTCTTCAAGACTTCTCTCCCAACCACCTCTTATCAGCTCCCGCTCTTACTTCTGCAAACCAGAGCAAACCACACACAAAGCAGACCTCTGGATCTTTGCACCTGCTGTGCCTTCTGCCTGGAATGCCCCTCCCTCCTTCCCAGCTCACTTCACCTGCTTGACAAGACTCTAGTCACTCTGCCTGGGAACTTCCCTTCATCATCTGCCTGCCCCGCACCCTCCTGGTTTGGGTACTCCTCCTTAGAGGCCACGATGCCTATGCTCACCTCCATCCCAGCCCCTGTCACCCTGTGTACTATCACCTACTTGCTTACTCTGCCCTGTTGAGTGTTCCCAAGGGTACATATCTCACTCTCCTTTGATCCCAGAGCTCGGTCCTGGCCAAATACACATTAAATGGTTGTTAAGTTCCACTGGATTCATGGAGATATGGTGCCAGAAGGAACCCTGGAGGTCACTGAGGCTGCCTTGTCTCTTTAAAGCTAAGATATCGGGCCCAGACTACCAAGTAGGTTAACAAGGAACCAGCTCGTTGGGGCCAGGTCAGGACTTGAACTTGGGGCTCCATTCCCCAGGACAGTGCCTCTGCCTTGGATTTAAGAAGGGTCCGGCTGGTGGTGGCCCAGAGGCCTACCGGTGAGCTCTGCCCACCCAGCCGCCCAGAGCCTCACACATCTCCACTGGTTCTCTCCCCACAGGCCCTCTACTGCAGCTGCTTTGTCCCCGTGTACTGTGGCCTCATCCCCCCAACTTACCGTGGTGTGGTGAGTGCTTTGGCATGGGAGAGGGTGAGCCAGGACCCGGGAGTGCCCTGTGGTCCACATCTGGGAAAGTAGAGGGGTGGTCTCAGAATTCGGTGGGAAGACCAAGGGTTGGAAAGATTATTGTGTTTTTCTACTTAGAATTCCCAGTAGAGATGGATTTCTGGGGCTTTCAGATGAACTTTCCCTCCATACATTGGGCTTCACTCTGGGCCCACCAACCCATTACTGAGCCTGGCTAGTCAAGACCCCATAGGCTTGCTGGATTTTCCCATACTTGACAGAAAGTGTAGAATACGGACCCTGTGACATTGGTACCTGGAACCGTGAATGATGATGGCGACCTTTAAAGTCATCTAGGCTAGTGTACTTGAATCACCAGTGGGGGAGGGGACCTTGTAAAATAATGCAAATTCTGATCCTCTAGGCCCAACCAGCTTCAAATGACGTCTGAAGCCAGTGCTGCTGGTCCTCAGACCAAGCTCTGAGTAGGAGGATTTACCCATGCCCCTTCCTCATTTTATATAGAAAGAAAATGAGATCCAGAGATCAAGATTCAGCTAGGAGATGGAGCACATCCTGTGCATGTCAGCCATGTACTTCTCAGGCATCCCAGAGAGTTAAACCTCAGTATCTGTGATCCTTTGTTCACAACTGAGGCAACAGAAGCCACAAGAGGGAAGGGCTATGTGGTGGCTGGTGGCCAGGCCATGGTCAGGGGTGTTCTGGAGAGTGCTGAGGATACCTGACCTCAACAGAGGGAGGCAGTTTGGACCCACAGCAGTCTGGAAGAGGGGATATTTCCCAACCTGCTCAGACCCACCATGTGTTCACCTTCTCAAAAGGCCAAGGGCACAAGCTCCATTCCCCCACCCTGCCCTTGGTAGGTGAGTGGCTGAGGAGGAGTAGCCTGGGAGGCGGAGCTGTGACAGGAGAGCATTTGCTCATGCTGTATCCAGAGTATGACTGGCCCTCTCCCCCAAGGCTCAGCACCATTGAGATGGCTGAATGGAGACAGGGTAGGGACAGAGCACTGGGCTGGGAGTTCAGGGACCACCATGGATACACCACTCACCCACCTGGACCTTGGCCTCAAGGCTCGTCCCAAGGGACCCATTTCCCCGGTGGACTCCCTGAGTGGGGAAGAGCACCTCTGACCCCATGAGCATTTACGACTCTGCCTGTCCCTCATAGCGCTACATCGACGGGGGCTTCACAGGCATGCAGCCCTGCTCCTTCTGGACTGACGCCATTACCATCTCCACCTTCAGTGGGCAGCAGGACATCTGCCCCCGGGACTGCCCCGCCATCTTCCACGACTTCCGCATGTTCAACTGCTCTTTCCAGTTCTCCCTGGAGAACATCGCCAGGATGACCCATGCCCTGTTCCCGCCGGACCTGCTCGTGAGAGGAGGGGCCCGGAAGGGAGGGGGACCGGGGGAAGCTGACAGAGCCTGGGGGAGCCACTGGGGTCCATGCAGTTCCGTCTGTGTCTCCTTAAACTTCCTCCTAAACCCGTATCCTGGCCTCACCGCTAACTAGCTATGTGACCTTGAACGAGGCCGCTAAGTGCTCCCAGCCTCAATTTTCTCCCCTCTAAAATGAGATGTTGTCAGAACTGCTGATAGGATGTTACCTGAAATTTTCTACTCTGACATGCAATGTAGGCTCCAGCAAGTATGGCCCATGGGCCAAATCCAGCCAGTGGCTTGTGTTTTGGGTTTTGTTTTCAATTTTATTTATTTTACTTTTTTAAAAAAAATATTTTATTTATTTATTAGAGAGAGAGAGAGAGAGAGAGAGAGAGCATGAGTGAGGGGGAGGGGCAAAGGGAGAGGGAGAAGCAGACTCCCCACTGCGCAGGCAGCCTGACTCGGAGCTCAATCCCAGCACCCTGAGATCATAACCTTTCCAAAACTGCTCTAAAAAATTAAGTCTACATGTCTTAACAAAATGCGTGTCTTTCTTTGGCAAGAAGTGTGATCCTGGGAGTAGGCGCCAAGTTTTACTCATTTCTTTGACTACACTCACTATGTCTACAGAAGGCATTGCTTATAGAAGGTTCTCAGTAATTGTTTTGAATAACTCCTCTAAGCCAGTTTGTGACTTACAGTCTAATTATTGTTTACAAAACTCATAAAACACTATTATGCTTAGTCAGGCAATGGATACACAAGATATTTTATTAATCTGATCGACTCTTTGTCCTCCAGCTGTTGCGTTAGAAATTCTGGTATCTGCCTACACTAATTTATCAGTAAAGATTATGTCTATTTACCCTCATAAAAGCAGTCCACCAATAGGCAGTTCAAGAAAGGTAGAACAAATCTATTGTAGTCATCAGAGCCTCTCAAACTTGACTTTCTGCTCACAATCAGTGCTTGACTTTCATTCTCAAGGTGGCTTGTTTTTATATAGCCTGTGAGCTCAGAATGGGCTCTCCGTTTTTAGAGGTTTATAGAAGTAGAAGAAAGAGAAGGAGAAGAGCAAGAAGGAAAAGAGGAGAAGAAGGGGGGGAAGAAGAAGATGATGAAGAAGGAGGAGAAGAACAAGAACAAGAAGAACGAGAAGAAGAGACAGACTATCTGTGGTGTTCAAAACCCCAAATATTTACTATCTGGCCCTTCATGGAAAGGCTTTGTGAGCAATATCTCATGTAACCCTCCAGCATCCTCTGCAGTAGATACTATCATTATTCCCATTTTAGAGGTGAAGAAACTGAGGCCGTGAGAGGTTACAGCCACACAGCCAACAAGTGGCAACACTGGGATTCGAACCCAGTCTCCAGACTCGGCTCTTCATGTGGCCCAAATGCACATTCTCTGGTTCTACTATAAACATCTCACCTGCTCCCGCCCAGGGGAAGCTGATGATCCGCTGTAAATGATTTAACACATTAATGCACCGTCCCTATGGAGACACGATCAGTAACTGCTCCCCACTTCTTAGCAGATAGTGAGGGACGGGACACTGGATGGGTACATTTAGAAAAATCCATCAAATAAAGCTCAAGGGCAATGAAAGGAGCTGCTCTGGGTGAGGGGACCTCGGCTCTCTCCATTGCTGCGGCTTTAGTCATTGTGCTGCTGTTCCCTCCTTGCAGATCCTGCACAACTACTACTACCGAGGGTACGAAGATGCCGTTTCCTACTTGAGGCGGCTGAGTAAGTACGAGGTGGGGCCCCAGGAAGGGGTGGGCTGGGGCGGGGCTAATGCCGGAAGTGGAAAGGCGGAGTCGAGGAGCCTTCCCCTCGGATTTGAGAACTGGAGACGCCCTTCCCCGCGAGGGCCGGAATGGCGCAAGGACCCGGCAGCTTGCATTGTCCCCGACAGGCCACTGTGGCCAAAAATTAGGATCTCCGTGGAAAAGTGATTTTTAGGGTCACTGCTGGGACAGTGGGTAGGCTTTTGTACAGATACCTTTCTGGATTTAAGGACTATGGTTAGGAAACTCATAGCTAATATCTTCCCGGAGAATACCGTTTTCATGTCATTTCACTTTATTCTCTTTCCCCGACAATCGCGTTGTTTACGTAGAACCAGACATGACTAGTTTATATTCGCGTAAGACTCTGAGTGACACGGATCGACAAATGAGAGAGAAGAGCCTGTGCCCTGTGTTGGTTTAGCAAGTGTGGTCCCTACACCCGCACGTCTTCTGCGCATTCTTGCGTGGGAGATTCCCATGGCAGGTATTACCCACGCTACCTCCATGAAGACCGTGGCAAACATCCTCAATAAAAGGGAAGGAAAAAAGCTTTTCCATACTTAGAATTGTTTCCATAGAACGTAGTTCCAGAAAAAAAGGATTCCTGGACCGGAGGGTGTTTACCTAATGCTGTATGAAGTGGTTTTTTTGTTTCCCATGTTTCATGTGGTCTTTGTGACTGTCTTTTTTGGCAATTGTGTGATATTCCATCACAGTTGTACAGAAAACTGTGATCATTCCTTTGAGTTTCCAAATGCTCACTGTTGTAAGCAATGCTGTGGTGAACTTTTTGTGTACGTAGTTCAAAAGAAATATATTTTAGGAGTGAGATTTGAGAGATTGAATGTGGGTTTTTCCCTAGGATGTGTTGACTTCTTTTCTTTCCAAGTTGCTTCCTGCGTTCCCAAGCTCCCTTTGTCTTGACTCTTTCCTTTCTTCTGGGGCCATTCTCCAAACAAGGGAGGGGGTGGGCAGGAGAGAAGGATTGAAGGAATGTGGGTTCTGGAGGCAAGTAGGCCTGGGACAGGATTCTCATCCTCCCTGGCTGTGTGAACTCAGGGAAATCACTTGCCCTCTCTGCCTTGGTTCCTAATCTGTAAAAAGGGTGAAATCCTGGTTCCTGACACCTACTAACTGTGTGATCTTGAGCAGGTAATTCATCTCCTGGGACTTCGGTTTTCTCATCTGTATAATGGGGCTGATCATGGAACCCACCTCAGAATTTTATTCCTAGACACAGTCAGTGCAGCCCGCTGACCCTGTGACCTAGGAGACAGGCCCCCCCCACCTTTCTGTGGGACAGACTCCCCCTAGCCCTGACTCTACTCGGACAGTATCCCCCCCTCCTCCTGCACACTGACAAGGGTGACAGCTGTGAAGACTAAGATCCAAGTGTCCAAAAGGAGGAACACCCGAGGGGTGTCAGTGGGTGGTTGACAGGGGGTCTCACCTACGGAGCCTCAGGAAGGGGAGGGGCTGGCGAGGATCTGGGATCCTTTCCACCCCCAGCCGGGAAGCCCCTTCACTCTTTCCTCAGTGATGATGTGTACTGGGGACATAGGGCTGGGGGATCCCCTGATTTTGGGACCAGGACTTGGGACCAATTTCATGCCTCTACACCTCAGGTTCCAGCCTGGCTGCCTGGTTGCCACTGTACCTGTCTCTCCCCTAGAACTTCTTTCTCTTCCTCTCAGGGCAAGCCCTGGGGAGAATTACAAAGTGCCTTACTATGGCATCTCTGGTCTCCCCCAATTCTCAGTAGCCCCTCGGCCAGCCTCTGGGAGGAACCCAGCGCTGGCTCGCGCTCTCCCACCCTTCCACCCTTAGCTGATGTGGACGCCATGGTATATATGGCGGTCTTAAACCCAAGGATGAGACTCTAATAGGAGCATTTCGGGCATCCACTAAAGAATCAGGGATGGTGGGCTTTTCCAGGGGCCCTGGAATCACTCCAAGGAGGAACTGACACAACTCATCAGGAAGAAAATGTCTCCTGCTGGCTACCAGCTAGTTTTGATTCCTCTTCCAATTTGCCAGTGTTTGCATGGCTCTCTCAGTGCCGGTTTCTTCAGTCCCACCCCTAAATCCCCTCGGGTTTGATAGGGCTGGATTTTCCTCTCAGCACCAGATGCGAGCAGGAGGTATGACGCATTCCTGAGAAACTGCGGCTGGTGCCCAGAGCCACACTCTTAATTCCCACCTGCCATCTGGGAACAGAAAAATGGGAGTCTGCTCCAGCCTCCCACCCTACTGCTTTCTAGATGGGGGTCAGCTCCGGCAGAAGGCCACACCTGCAAAGTGTCACCCTCAATTCCTCAACTCACATCCTGGAGTCCCCCTTCTCTGCCCTCCTCAGGGCTCACATCTGCCTAATGATTCCAGGCGAGCTTCCCTTTCCACCCTTGGCCTCCCCTGGCAGCAGCCTTCTGCCAAAGGGAAGGGCACTGCTTGTTGGCATGCTTGAAAATCCACATTCCCCACACAGACATGTGGATGTGGGCGTTGAGTGAGGTTGGAGCTCAGAGGATGCCATGTCTAAAATTATCTATCTGGCATCCAGGCGTGCCTGGCCAGGCCTGCCTGCCTTCCTTCCTTCCTCCTTTCCTCCCTCCCTCCCACCCTCCTTCCTCCCTTCCTTCCTTCTTTTCTTCCTTCTCTTGCACCCTTCCTCCCTCTCACAATTTAAGTTCTCTCTCTCTCTCACACACACACACACACACACACACACACCTGTGAAACCAACACCACAATCAAGAGAGTGAACCATCATCCATCATGCCCAAAGTTTTCCTCATGCTTCTTTGTGACCCTTCCCACCTTCCCCCAGTGCCCCTGATCTACTTTCTGTCATTATAGAAATTTCCAGTATGGACTTCCAGTATGGGCTCTATTTTGTCTGCATTCTTTCACTCAGTATAATTATGCTGAGATTCATCATGTTATTGCATGTATAAATAGTTCATTCCTTTTTACATTCCATTCCACTTATGAAAACCCCATAGTTCATTTCTCCATTCGCCCATTAATGGACATTTAGGTTGTATCCAGTTTGGGCTATTATGAATAAATTTGCTGTGAATACTCATGGAGTCTTTGTATGAACGTATGCTTTCATTTCTCTTGGGTAAATACCTAGCAGTGGAATGTCTAGATGGTATGGTGGATGTACATTTAATCTATATTTATGCAATATACAATTATATATATATGTATAATTAGGGTAAAACACATAACACAAAATTTACCATCTTAACCATTTTTTAAAGATTTTTTATTTTTAAGTAGTCTCTACACCCAACAGGGGGCTTGAAGTCACAACCCTGAGAGATCAAGAGTTGCATGCTCTTCCAACTGAGCTAGCCAGGTGCCCCACCATCTTAACCATTTTTAAGTGTACGGTTCAGTAGTGTTAAGTATATTTACATTGTACAACCAATCTCCAGACCTTTTTCTTCTTGCAAAACTGAAACTCTATACCCATGGATCAGCAATTCCTCATTTCTCTCTCTCCTAGGCCCTGGCTGCCCCCACTCTATTTTCTATTTCTAGGAGATGGACTACTTCAGATACCTCATATCAATGGAATCATACAGTACTTGTCTTTTTGTGACTGGTGTATTTCGCTATCGTAACGTCCTCCAGGTTTATCACTATTATTCATAGCATGTGATGTACCCCTGTGTACATACCACATTTTCTTTATTAATGAACAATTTGAATTGCTTCTTCCTCTTGGCCATTGTGAATAATGACGCAATGAACCCAGGTATGCAAATATCCTATTTTCAATTCTTTGGGATATATACTAAGGACATATATGAAGAAGGTATGCTTAACTTTTATTGTTTTTCGAAGTGGTTGTACCATTTTACATTCCCACCAGCAAAGCATGAGAGTTCCAGTTTCTCCCTATTATCACCAACACTTGAAATGGTCAGTCTTTTTAATTTTAGCCATGTGAATAGTTGTGTGGTGGTATCTTACTGTGATTTTAATTTGTATTTCCTTAATGACTAATGATGTTGAGCATCTTTTCAGTTGCTTATTTGCCATCTATATATCTTCTTTGTTGAAGGGTTCAACTCTTTTGGTCATTTCCCACCTAGACGTATAATAAGCTTTATTTTTAAGAATCGTTTTAGATTTACAGAAAAAAATATGAAAATAGTATGGAGAGCCTCCATGTATTCCACATTCCCTATTATTATGTCTTACATTTGTTAGAAGTTATAGTATGGTACATATAAAATTCGGTATATAGTATAGTGTAGTGTTTACAACCAATGTACTAATATTGGTTATTATTAACTGAAGTCTGTATATTCAGATTTCCTTTGGCCATTGGAAGCTTTTTTAGTGGGCTCTTTTACCTGTCTTAAAAATTGAATTGTTTGCTTTCTTATTTAAGAGATTTTATGTATTGGAGATAAATGCCCTTTATCTGAAATATAATTTGAAAATATTTTTTCTCAGTCTGCGATTTCTCTTTTCAATTCCTTAACAGTTTTCTAAAAAGGAGTTTTAAATTTTGATGGGACCCATATTATTAATTTGCTTTCTTTATGGATCATGCTTTTGGTGTCTTACCTAAGAAACCTTTGCTTTACTCAAGATCACAAAAAGGTTTTCTCCTATGTTTCCTTCTAGAAGTTTTATAGTTTTTTAGTTTTTCATTTGTGTCTATGTTCCATTTTGAGTTCATTTTTGAATATGGTTCAAGATATAAAACAAAGTTCTTTTTTTTTTTTATATGGATGTCCACTTCTACCAGCATTGTTTGTCGAAAAAACTATGCTTTCTCTATTAAGTAAAGTCAGTTGTTTCTATATGTTATGGGTCTATTTCTAGGCCTTCTGTTTTGTGCCATTGATCTATTTTTCTGTCTTTAGGTCGATATCATACTGTCTTGATCCCTGAAGCTTTATCGTAAATCTTGATACCAGGTCGTCTTAGTTTTCCATCCTTGTTTTTTTTTTCCTTTCAAAGTTGTTTAGGCTATTCTGGGTCCTTTCTAATTCCATATGAATTTTAGAATTAACTTGTGAATTTCTAGACAAAATGCAGTCATCTGTACTTGTCTTGGGAACCTATTCTCTCCTCCTCTGCAATCACCGCCTCGAGACTTCCCCTCTCCCTGATCCCTAGGAGAGGACCTTGCCTCCAAACAACTTCACAGAGAAAAGCAAAACCAACAGAGAGAAGTTCTCTCAACTTTGCGCTACCAAATATACAAACTCAGCCTGCTCTGTCTCCCTCCTTCTTAGAACATTAAAGGAAGCAACCCTCTTCTTGCCTAAAGCCCACCCCCTACCTGTACTCAGACCCCTTCCCATCTCAGCACTTTTGAATTACCCATTATTTCATTTGTCTTTTACATATCAACCCCCCCTCTCAAATGTATCCTTACCAGCAACTTGTAGGTCTACCCCAATCTTGCCTATTTTAGCAACTTGGCCTGGGTTCCCCTCTTCCCCTCTCCTCACTCAGTCCTGGCTCCCTCCTCTTCTCACTCTGCATTTCCTCCCTAGGCAATCTCCTCCATGGCCACCATCACAGCTTCAGTGACCATCCATAGATGGGCTCCCAATGGACACCTCTAACCCTCATCTCTTCTCTGAGATCCAAACCCATCTATCCAACTGCTCACTTGTCATCTCTCCTTGGACATCTCTAAGACCCCCTAAAATCCATATATCCCCAAACAAACTATAAACTCTGCCCTCCTCACTGCTCCCCTAACCCATCCCCTCCATGGTCACCCTGTCAGCACCAACATCCACCTGATTGTGCAAGCCAGCTACCTCCTCTCTTCCCCCAGTCGATCCATTGCCAATTCTCATTTATTTTACCTCCTAAACAGAATCTTCTATTTCTTTCTCTCTCCTTCCAGGTGCAAGCCCTAAACACCTCTCCACAGCAGGCTTACAGGTTTCTCTGGGTCCCCTATGCCCTTCTCAGTGAGTCTCCACACAGCAGCCACAGTGATCTTGTCAAAGCCAGAGACAGAGCAGCATTCCCACTGCCAATAGGTCTTTCATGGCCTCTGTGAAAACCAAGGGCCCTCAATGGTGTCTACAAGCATGGTCGGGCTCCTGTGGCCTCCTCAGCCCCATCTCCCACCACAGTGCCCCCACCCTTGCTCCAACCACCCTGACCTTTCAGGCCCTCCTCATGCTCCCTCAAATCTGTGGCATTGGTGTGTGCTGTTCCCTCTGTCTGAAATGCTCCTCCCCATCCCACCCTGACCACCCCCTGGACCCTCACTTCCCCTTCAGATCTCAGCTCAAATGTTGCTCCCTCAGGGAAACCCTCCTGAAGTAGTCCTCCCTGCTTCCCTCTCTCCTAACATCATGTTCCTTTCTCGCCTACAATGTGTCTTGGTTAAAACGAGATTATTTGGGTAGTCAATGTCTGCCCCCAAGCCAGACTGTAAGCTCCAAGAGGCCAAGAACCATCACACCTGTTTTTGTCCCCTTCACTCCTCATTGCCTGGTATATATAGATGGCACATATAGATGCTCAATAAATATCTGTTGAATAAATGAATCAATACACAATCAAATACTCAATATAAATTTGAGTAAGTAAAGAGAGACGAGTGAAAAGCACTAATCCTGCTTATGAAAATAATTTGGGAAATCGCTTTTGGCAGATGCCATGCTGATACCAGGGGTCAGTAATGCCACCTGTGACCCCATGCTGTTGTTTTCCTAGATGCTGCTTACCTCAATTCTCCCTCCAAGAGAGTGATGTTCCCCCGCGTAGAAGTGTACTGCAATATAGAACTTGCCCTTGGCAATGAGCGCCCTGAACGCAGCCAATCAAGCCTCCAAACAGAGCAGGAAGAATCCATACAACCTCACACACAGTGGGCTCCTGAAGGGGAAGGAAAGTGCAGCCATGGTCCACTTGTGTCCTCACCTGTGCAGACTCCTGAATCCACACGCGAGTGGCCTGTAGAGTCACCTGTTTCACCACCTGTCTCTTCATTTGAGCAGTCACCTGCATCTCCACTGGCCTCATTACCATCACATTCTCCAGTTGACTTGCCCCCTCTATCACTCCCAGCTGTGCCCTTACCACTTAGCTCCACACCTGTGCTGTCACGTGTATCACCAGAGCAGCAGGTACAAATGACTGGATCACCACCAAGATCCCCACCTTCCCAGTCATCTCTGTCACCCAGGCCATCCCTGGGGCCTTCATCTGTAGGGGCATCTCAAACACTGCCCCAGTGTTCTCCTTCAGCGTCATCTGCACAGTCACCTGTGGAGGAATTGGGCCCAGAACAGCCCCAAGGTATGGACCCTTCTCACTTCTCCCAGTTTCTTATGTCTGGAGCCCCTCAGCAAGTGTGCCACAACATGGGAGCTCATAACCATTGCTTTATTATTTTTTTGTTATGTTAGTTAACCAGCATATAGTACATCATTAGTTTTTGATGTAGTGTTCAACAATTCATTAGTTTCATATAACCATTGCTTTAGAGGGGTGCATTGGTAAAGTTAGCACTTAGCTTTAGCGGTTCTACCTATTTTGAGGCTAGGCCACCACAAGGGGACAGTGTTCTTGACATTTGTTCATGTCTTTAGTCCAGTGATTTTCAAAGGTTGGTCTCTGACCAACAGCAAACACATCACCTGGGAACTTGTTAGAAATGAAAATTCTCAGACCCTACCATAGACCGCCTAACTCGGGGGGGCAGGACCCAGCTATCTATCTTTTTTTTTTTAAGATTTTATTTATCTATTTGTGAGAGAGAGCACAAGCAGGGGGAGCCGCAGGCAGAGGGAGAAGCAGGCTACCAGCTGAGCAGGGAGCCTGACGAGGGGCTCGATCCCAGGACTCTGGGATCATGACCTGAGCCGAAGGCAGACGCTTAACCAACTGAGCCACCCAGGTGTCCCTCTACCTTTTTATAAGCCCTCCAGGGGGTTCTTTTGAGAACCACTATACCAGAAGGTTTTTATTATTTGTGATAACCACTGTGCCAGGGCAGAGCTACTCAAAGAGTGCTCTGTGAACCAATGCTGGTCCCCAAACTATTTGTTACTAATTTACAATGAAATGAGCACAGAGGTTGAAAGTAAGCATTTAGAAATGTTTATAGCCATGACATCCAAGAGCTTGGTCATTTTCCTACTAATTCATTGTACTGTATTTCACAAAAGTACTAGTCCATTATGGTTTCCAAAAAAATATTTTTAAAAGCTGGTTCTTCACAACTGGCATCTTCTACAGATCTGCTCTAGAGGCTTCAAAGCTAAACAGTTCTCAACTCTTCACTCTCAGGAACTCTCCCCTCTAGCAGAGGGGATGACAGAGATACCAACCTCGAAAATACAGCACAAATTATTAAGTACTACATTACTAAGAAAAACAGAGTGTTGGAGGTATTCATAGAGGTTAAGATCACTTCTCTCTAGGGGTTTAAGGTGGGCTTCTTGGAGGTGCACGATTTTGCCACCTCACTCTTGTCTCCTCTATTTTTACTTTTGACTGTAGCTCCCCTTGTCTCTTCAAATCTGAAAGGCACTATGCCCTTGGTTAATGTGAAGGAAACCACCAGCAAGCCTCAAGCAATGTAAGTTTCTCCTTAATTAGGGACACATTCTTTCCTTTGGCCAGGGGAGGGGGGCCAAGCTAAGGGAATTTTTCCTTCTTTTTAGCTGTCCTAGGAACACTGGGATCCTTTTCCGGTTTGTGTGATTACAGTCCACCCCTTTACACTCCTCTATTCTTCAGTGGGGGCATTGAATGGGAAATGAGCTATTTGTGCTCATCAGCTCCTTCCTGTGCACACTAGGGAATGCACCTTCTCTGAGTGCAGTGGGAGAACATGCACCCCCTTGTGTCTTAGTCTCCGGTGGTGTCTCAGTTCAAGGGAGTTAGCAGGCATGTTACATCCTAGCTTGAGGTAGCCAATTTCCTGCATGGTGTGAATTGTGAGACTCTGTCAAAGGCCTCCTTTAATCCAAATTATTTTCTATTGACACAATAAGCAGGCTAATATTCCTATGTTATAGATTGTCCCCAGAAAATCTTTTTTATAATGCACATCAGTTGTCTGGGTTGTGTGACATGTTCTCCATTACTTACCTTCACAGTCATTCTGAGAGGGCCTGGGGGTTGGTTTTGTTTTTTGTTTTTTTTTTAAGATTTATTTTTATTTATTTTTTAGAGAGAGAGCACATGAGTGCGGGGGTGGGAGGGGTGGAGGGGTGGAGGGGCAGAAGGAGAGAGAGAACGAGTCCTAAGCAGACTCCACAATGAGTGCAGAGCCCCACGCAGGGCCCAGTCTCATGACCCTGAGATCACAACCTGAGCTGAAACCAAGAGTCAGAGGCTCAATCGACTGCACCACCCAGGTGCCCCAGGATTGGTATTTTTTTAAGTTCCTTGGGGACCACATTACCCGGGCTCCCTTGCTGGCTTCTTGCCAGTTGGGTTAGCCAACGGAAGGCACCAGCAGGAGATCAGAAGGTGGGTCAAAGAGTATTTCTCCCCTCCCCAACCTCATCTCTCCTCCCTTGGGGCAGTTCTGGCAGTGGCTGGGGTTCTCCATGGCCACAGCTGCAACTATTGGGAGAGCAGGTCCTTTTGATGTTCCAACTCCGTATCATATCAAATATATTAAAACATACCTGCTTCTCACATTAAGTATAATTTTAATTATAAAACTTTTTGAAAGAGTTTGCATAAATTTAAAAAATTTTGTGCTTGGGGCATATACTATGCATTTTGTTCACAGGGTTTAAACTTTATTGCATTGACATATAACTTATAAAAGTTCAGTTGAATTTCAGTTGACTCATTGGCATGATGTTACTTAGATAAATGGTCATTGATTATAAAACAAATGTTGGCTGTGGAACTCTGGTGTTCAGCCAGAGTTAAAAGCCGTAGCATTGGTGTGTCTGTCTACCTTCTGAGCTGGAGTAGGGCCCTGATAGTGGAGGACACAGTAAAAGTCATTATTCATCTATTGCCCAGGGGGAACCCTGCTGAAGACTCCAATTGGATGAGCAAGATGTTCAAGAAGAACAAACAAAAGACAAGTAGCACCAGAAAAGGCTTCCCAAGACATCCACGATCCAAAAAAACAAGCGGCAAAGTGCAGTGAGCATGACTAATGTTTCTCAAGTTCCATGGGGAAGCAAAGCTTTGGAAAGAGTCTGCAGGAAGATCACAAGGGATAGAGGAAGAGTCAGTAAGAGCAGGTGTTAGGAACTGGACTTTGGAGTCGGACCCACCCAACATAAATTCCCTGCTCTGCCATAATCTTACTCAGTGATCATGCTTAGGACATGTGATCTTTCTAAGCCTCTATTTCTTGATCTATAAAATAGGGATAATATTGTGAGGGTTTAATGAGTTAAACATGTAAATTGCTTTGCAGAATGCACAACGTGTAATTAGCACTCAATAATTTAGCAGATATTAGGGTTATATGCAGAGGTTAACTAGGACTTCTCAGCTTCTGAATAGAACCTTATTTAAATACCAAACTAGACAGTTGTGTAACCATGTGACCCTCAACATATAGAGATCCAAACTGTTGCCAACCTACAACTAAAAGCCCTAACTAGTGTAAGCCTGCTTCTTACAGCTTTTTGGTTATATTACCTTGTCATCAGTTCCATCAGTTAACCTTTATTGAGCACCTATGAGTGCCAACCACTCTTCTGGGCTCTAGAGATAGCAAAGATGAATTGAACTCAATCCCTAACTTTTTTTTTTTAAGATTTTATGTATTTATTTGAGAAAGAGTGAAAGAGATCACAGAGGGAGAGGAGAAGCAGACTCCTGCTGAGCAGAGAGCCTGACTCAGGGCTCAATCCCAGGACCCCGAGATCATGACCTGAGCCAAAGGCAGACGCTTTAACCGACTGAGCCACTCAGGCACCTCTCGATTCCCAACTTTAAGAGTTTACCCCAAAACTGAACTTTAGACCAAAGACAAGAACCAAGTCTTAATTTTTTACTGAACTATAACCTTGTTTTTTAAAGAGACATGCATACACACGTACACACAAATGAAAAATGCCAGCTTCAAATGCAAACCAAGCCAGGAATCATCTACAACGATTTTACGGGATTATCAAAATATCCTCTAAATGGAACAGACCCATACTGCTATCTACTTTGCTTCAAGCCTTCATTGGTCAGGAAAATCCCCAAATCATTCTAAGTGACATCCTTCTGTGTTGTTCCTGTCCCAGGTGGGGATCCCAGGTGGGCAGAGAGATGTATCAGATAGATGAGGGTCAGAATCTCACCCTAGCAGCCACAGGCCCACTTTGAGGTCTGGGCAAGTAGGCACTTGGTGGGTGGGAGGAAGCAGTATGGTGGGAAGGAGATTCTCAGCTGCTGCAGGAAGTGGGGCAGATACGTGTGTCACTTTCTGGAGGTGCCCATCCTTTAATCCAGTGGGCATTTGGCAGTCCCGTTGGGGGTCATGAAATTAGTGAATCCTGGGATTAGTCTCTCTCTGTTCCTTGGTCTCCAGCCCCAAGGCTTCTTTGACTTTTTGAGTGTCTGTATCTCTGTCTCTAGGAGCTCAAGGTCAAGTTTGGTCAGGAGAACATAGGCAGGTCTGCAGTGGGGGTGGGGAAGCTTCCTTGGGGCTGGGAGTGGCATCTGGAAGCCAGGCCCAGACTTGAGTCCCTTCATTCCAGGGCCAGGCCTCCTCCTACACATTGGAGCAGTGAGACCTATGCAAATTCAGCCATAGTCCCTTGGTCGACAAACTTCTAGGAATCAAGGTACTTTATAAAGAAGCAGGCTGTGATAAAAACAAACATAACAACATTCACAGCTGTGGGAAACACAGTTGTCAGCAGGTCACACATGCCGTCTGCGGTGTTCCTTTATAGAACAGATTATGAAACTGCCTGGAAACAATTTACCAGTCGACATTCTTAGGCAATTCCATACAAATTCACTGCTCTGAGCTTCAAAGACCAGGGTAGAGGGTCTACCCTCTCTACTCAAAGAAGCTCAAAAGAAAAGAGAAGCTCAAAAAGGTTATGCATAGAGGAGGAGTGATCCAGAAAGAGAGGAAATCTGCTCTAACAGAGTACAATCACTAACAGAGTACAATCACAAGAGACCCCATCACATCCATGGGCTAGTCCTGTGCAACTTCGGGCCCTCAGCTGATATTCTTCCGAATAAAGAGGGGAGAAGCTAGAATAAAAGCTACAGGATAGATGTTCCATACATTAATATCTCTCTCTCTCAACATGTTTCTTAAAGATATTTATTTATTTATTTATTTTATTTATTTATTTATTTATTTGAGAGAGAGAGAGAGAGAGAGAGAGAGAGAGAGAGAGTGTGTACGGGGGGGAGGGGCAGAGGAAGAAGGAGAGAATCTCAAATAGACTCCGTGCTGAGCACAGAGCCTGATGCTGGGCTCGATGCAGGGCTCCATCTCACGACCCTGAGATCACGACCTGAGCCAAAATCAAGAGTCAGACGCTTAACTGACTGAGCCCCCCAGGTGCCCCTCCCTCTGTGTGTTTTAAATCAGATGCTCAAATTAATACTCTGATGCTGGTTGTATTAGTCAGTAATTGCAGTTTGATAAGGCTACATAAAAGCGCCCCCCCCCCCCCCCCCCCTGCATCTCAGTAGATTCCAAAACAGATGTTTCTTTTACTCTTTCAGAGTTCTGCGAGCTGTCTGGGATAGCTCTGCTTAGGCTACAGGTTGGGGTTGAGTGTGCTCCCTGCCCTTTCATTCCACGACCAGCAGATGTGCCAAATACGCTCTGCGTCTGGAGCATGGCTAGATATATGTGTCAGCCTGGCTTTCCTCTGCTAGCCTCAGCTCTCCTTCCGTAAGAGTTCAGTGGCCATCTGGTTCAGGTTGTATAACTGGCCTCAAAGTGGCAAGACAGATTGAGAAATTCAGGGACTGCCGGAGGCCCCCAAAGGAAAAGGAGGAGGTCCCTCTTGCTAATTGCTACTCAAATCCTCTCAAGTCTGTCAGATTCCTCTGATTTCTACCATTTCTATGGCTAGAGGGCCCCCCTTTGAGTTACTATGGAATTTCCCCCTATGCAAATGCGAATGTAATGATAATAGCTAAAACTTACCAAGTAGTTATTATGGTCCAAGCATTGTGGCACAGAAAGGGTAAGCAACATGCCCAAAGTCACACAGTAGGTAGATGGTAGAGCCCGGATCTGAATCCAAGTTGTTTGTCACCAATGTCTTGGTGTCGAGCACCAAGTGATACAGCCTCCCAGGGTAGAAGGAGCCCTGGAGTGAATCGGACATCACAGGGTCTAGTCTACTTTGTCTGATTGGGCAGGGTGAGGCCTGGGGGTGCACTTGGAGGTGCGCGGGCAGACATGGCAGGGATAGGGCAGGCTGGCTTGGGGGCCATGCGAACAAAGCTGGACTTCACCTGTGGTGCTGGGGAGTCATTACAGGGATTAAACAGAATGACACAGTCGGAGTTGAAAACCACCCAAGAATGGACAGGTCCTCATGCCAGCATTTCTCTGAGGTGGGCTCTGCCAGAGTCTTCCTGCAATTCCCTCGATGGGGCCAATGACTGCCCAGGGTCACAGAGCAGGTGGAAGAGGCCTTGAAAGTCGGGGCTTCCCATTTCCCCCTTTTTGTCTCATTTTTCCTCACGTGTGCCTTCTGGGCGTCTCATGTCCAGGTCTGCTCCCTGCCCACTCGACTTCTCTCTGCTCTCCACTTCCAAGACAGTTTGGGTCACCTACAGGCTTCACCCCAGCCGGATCCAGGAATACAGCGGCCCTGAGGTGTGGAGCTGTCCAGGTACCTGCTCTGTTCCCAGATGTTGCGGTGACCTCTGAGCTCCTTCCCCCAGATTCCTTTCTGGCCCCACCCGCCTCTTTCTGGACATAGTCAAGGCCAGCACTAGCCCATATATTGCCTTGTGCACTAAGAAAACTATATCCTTTCCTGGAGAATTTGATTGCCAGCTGCTGGAAGATTGTGATAATATACTGATTTTGTTAAAACAGTTGACCGCCACCTGCTAGAAATCTGTATGAATGGCATACAAAGCTACCAAACTGTGCAAATAACATACAGAAAACTGTACAAATAACACGCGGCATAAATACATCCATGAGATGCCTCCCCTGTGTACTGACGGGTCTCCTTGTGCAGTCTGCAGTCTACACAACTGCACTCGGTGCTCTGGAGGTCACTCTACTTCTTTCCCCTTCCTGAAAAAACAAATATTAATCAGACTTTTGTAAATCGAATAATGTTTCAAACACTCTTTTATCAACTCCTGCTCTGCAAATGGGATTCTCCATTTGAAAAAACAAAAACAAAAACAAAAAACCTTGTATAATAAAGCGGGATTTGCTAACTGATTTTTTGATATAAATTGAGATTTCCAGTTTCCATGCATCAAACTGGCTAGAATGGGGCCTGGCTCCTTGCTTGGGGCTGCCCGACACATAAGAAGCTGTAAGGGATGTTCTCAGTGGAAATAAGGGGAGGAAAGTCCTTGATGAGGGACTTAGAAATGATGAATCTCTGTCCTTTTTCTAGGAAGCTGTGAACCAAGAGAGAACTTGAGCTGGAATGGGAGAGAACATGATGACCTCAAAGTAGAGCCTTCTCCCCAAGGCTCTCAGACACATCCCCCTCACCCTAGGCCTTTTGGGGACCAGGTGTCGCCCACTACCAAGCCTGTTGGTGTGGAGGGTCCTGCTTCTCCTGGGCAAGCACCTCCTTGTCTGAACATCCTCTCAGCGTCTCTGCGCTCCTCCAGCCCTTCCCCTACTCTGCTCTGGACAAACAGATGGACACCAACACAGATGGGCTCTGAAAAGCCCACAGCACATCCTGCTCCCGGCTGGCTGGGCTCTGGGCCTTCCTCCCAGCCCCAGCCTGAGTTTGCTTCTTCGAGATAGACTGCATCCGTCCTTGGCCCCCCAGGATCTAGTCTTCAGGCCAAACTCTTGGGGGTTGATGCCCTTTCCTCTCTGGTGTGGTATCAAGAGAACAAGTTCTTTTGTTTTGTTTTGTTTTTAATTCTCACAGTGGACCAAAGGCTTGATTTGCAACCACTGGAGTCCGTCATAGCCGCTCACCAGAATCACCTGTGGAGCTGATCAGGCATGAGCTCTCTGAAAGCTCCCCAGGGCTTGTGCGGTGCGGCCATGTTGAGCAGGCCACCCTGGACTCCCCTGAGTCCTGGTGTGGTTGTAGAGGGAGGCCAAATGTCCCTTCCCTCCCCATCCCCCAAGCAGGAGGGCAGCATGAGGGCAGACTCCATCTGCTGTTCACACCTTGGTGAAAATGTTCTGTGAGAAAGACACTTTCAGCCTCCATTTTTCCAGGCCATCCAGAAAAAAAATGAGCCCCACTGCTTGCTGGAGTACGGATAACTTTCAGCCCCGTCCAGGCCCAGTAAGGAACCCCGGGCTGCCCACAGGCTTCAGATGTATTTGCTTAGCAAATCCTGGAGTGCAAAACCCAGAGGACTGGGTGGAAGACGCCCTGAGCTTGGTTGGGGCCTCTGGGGGATGAATGCAAATGTTAGCCACGGAGGGTGGGAGACTGTGGCAAGGGGGCCTGCTGGAGCCTACATTTAAGGGGACCATGTCACGGAGCAGGAGTCCACACAGGCACCCTTAAAAAGGTTCTGCCAGGAAGAACCTAACTGATATGGAAAACAAAGACAAAAGAAAAAAGTAAATTTCCTTACTGCTCACAGCCCATTGACAAGTCCTTGAAACAGGCAGAGTGACCTTCCTCTGGGAGCTCAGCTGCCTCAACGTTGACACTCTGCTAAGGGCAAAAGGCAATCTTCTTACCCCAACCCCCCAGGGTCCTGTGAGTCTAACTTTAAATTCCTATGGAAACTTCCTTTACCTCTACCCCCCAAGATACATGTTGGCAATCATCCGCCAAGCATATGGCCCACTGATCTACATCTGAAGGGGCTCATGACCGAGTTTTTACTAAACAGTAATAAATGACCTTTTCCTAACAATAGCTAGCCCCCTCTAGCCCCTTCAGGATCCTGGAAACCTTGTTTCCAAAATACTTTGGAGGCCTGTGCTGTCCCCAGCCCCCTCCCAACTTGAAAGTCTATAATCAGTCACCCCTCACAACCCCAGTGCAGCTCCTTCTGCCCATGGGCCTCGTCCCCGTGCCTTAATAAAACCACCATTGGGCACCGAAGACGCCTCAAGAATTATTTCTTGGCCATCAGCTCCAAACCCCAACATTTCCTACATCACTAACTAACTGTACCTTTGAGAGGCTGAAAAGAATCAAACCTCAGGTGTTCCCTCACCCTCTGCCTCCTCTGATACTCTGAATCGGTGGCTCAAGGGAAGCATCCTGGGGGCCACGTGGGTGGGGGAAGACAGGTCCCACCTGGAGTGGCCCACCTGGCTCCGGTCTCCGGGCTTTTCCCCCCAGGAGTGGTCTTGCGGTTTGCCGGCAGCTGCAGCCCCGAAGGTCTTGAGACACGTGAACGGGAAGGGGGGAGGGTTTCAGTCTTGCACAACTCTGGAATGCTTATTGCCTGGTGTGCAAGGGGGTATTGAACATAACAATCGTTGTTCTAACGTAAAGCCTGTATTTAGAGCTCAGAAGCCCTTATGTTAGAGTTATGTTACAGTTGCAGGTATGGATAAATCCCCTTGTATGTTCTCCTTCGTTTTGCTTATTTCCCTTTTTCCCATTACAAGGGAAATAAGAGAACTCTTCTTGCATTAGTTCCGGGGTTGCTAGATAAAATACAGGACACTGTTAAATTTGAATGTCAGATAAACAGTGAATATTTAGTATGAGGAAGGCCCCAGTATTGCTATTATCTGTTGTCTATCTGCAATTCACATTTAACTAGGCCACCCATATTTTTATTTGCTAAATTTGGCAACTCTAATTAGTTCCTTTCTCCTTATAATGCCTTTTTTTTAAAGCCAATACTAGTGGATTGTTATTGTTGTTGTTGTTGTTGTTGTTGATGTGCCAGTCACTGTACTCTGAAATTGGAGGTCTCACTGGTGCGGAGGCCGGAGGCAGAACACTCTCTGGTCTTCCAAACAAGCATATCCGAACGACCTCTACAGCACAGCCCTCCCTGTAACTCAGCGCACATCCCAAACTCAACCTGGTCTTGGTTGACCCCATTATCTCTGACTTACTCGCTTAGCCTCCTGACTTCTCAGGGTCAGAAATTAGGTTAATTGTGTCCTGATGGCACTTACCCACCTTTTCAAAGTCTTTCAAAGTAGCGGGGTCTCCCATGCTCCTCAGTGTTCTTGAGAGCCTCCATGGTGTGAGTTGACGGAGCCCCGCCCGCCCTCACACGATGGTGTACCCGCCACCCTATATTCCTACTGGCACAAAATCCCCATAACAAGTGAGGTCCATGAGCACCCCGAGGGTGGGGATTGTGCCTTTTGCATGTGTGTATTGCACTGATCTAGATCAGACCTGACACGTAGTAAATGCTCAGTAAATATTGGTTGAGTGAATGAACTAATGGATTAGACAGTTTGGGAAGGCATTAAAACAGGGGTTCTGGGAACTGGATCCTGGCCTGGTTCTGTTTGTAGGTGGCCACGTGACCTTGAACAAGGCACCTGCTCATTCTGAGCCCCAGCCTCCACGTCTATGAAGTGAGGTGCTGCCCTCTCCTGCCCCCCTCAGAGCATTACAGTGAGCCTCCAAGGTTTGGGAGCTGAGAGGTGGCTTGGAAAGAAGACAACCTATGTACTATGTACACCGGAGGGCCACCTTCCCCAGGGAGCCGCTGGAAGAACGCATGTGTTACCTGAGAGTCAAGAGAGGAGGTCTTTAATGCCTTTCAGCAGAGACCACATTCTCTGGACCAAAACCCAGACACTGTATTCTGTCCATTTTTATCCCGGTTCTGAGTGACAGTTTGGGCACCAAAATTAAGGACTTAATAAAACATGATGTAGAATCAAGACTGACCCAGATGTTCCTGGACATACCATTAACTGTCATCTTAACAGTCACAGAGTGGGAGAATGTCAGGTCCAGAGGCAAGAATCATGTCCCTGAAGGCCTCAGCCTGCGGGGAGCTGGACTAAAACCCAGGTCTCCTGATGCTCCGGGCACTCCATTACTGTCTCAATAAGTTGACATCCCAAGAAGGGGACACCTGGGAAGCAACCAGAGAGGGCCTCCGGGCAGGGACAGAGAGGCTGGCCCTCACAGTCTCGAAGGTGCCAGACTGGCCCGGATGTGGCAGGTGGCCTCCCATCTTGCCACCACTGTGAATCATCCAGATGAGACCTTGGTGCAAGTCAATTTCTTTATTTGCTTAAATAACAGTACAAAAATGAGACTCAGATGCCAGCATCGGGGACTTATACCAAATACACATACAACTTAAAGAACATCATCCCAAATAAGAAACTATGTACAGAAGTTTCCTGACCCTCGTTTCAAAACTGATTCTGATCCTTTGCATTTGGGGGCTGTGTTCCTGAACACTAAAATAAATCCATAAATAGACCACTTCTCCCCCACTTCTTAGAATCAGCAATAAAACTAAATGACTTGTAGAATATGCTTTGTTGAACTTCCTAAAATTTTGCCTCAGGTTTGAGGCCGGTGCCAGCTAAGTGCCCAAGGCCTCTCTGCCCTTGGTTTCACCCCCTCTCCAGTCCTACCCCCCAGTGATCACCACGTTCAACATAGCAATACAGTGTCCAGCGAGGGTAATAAGAGTGAGTCTAGATTTTAACACTCTCTCCCCTTTGGCCATGTGTTCCATGCAATGTCCAATGGCTATGTTTATAGCCCTGTTGGGCATGCATGTAGATAACGGACATGTGGCAAACTGCCCATCTGAGCCAAGCTGTTCAAACTGTTCAGCTTTGTAGAAGGCAGAGCCTCTAACAGCCCACACCTCACCTTTGTACAAAAACAAAAAGGAGCCCCTTTCTCAGGACTCTTTACTGCCATCAGGTAGAAAACTGCTATCATAAATCTACATATCTACAACGTCTAGGAAGTAAATAGCACTTCCTGGGGTATGATGTTCTTGAGCAGTGCACACCCATACAACCATCCATGGCAATCCAGCTTAAAGCCCTTCCCTATTTCCTGCAAACTACCCAGATTGTAGCTGTAATAAGAACAACAACATACATGGACATGGCACTCTTCACATTCATTCTCTCACCGACTCTTGGCAAACCCCCATGAGACGGGTGAGATGCAAGGCATCAGCTTCACTTCTCTGGACATGGAATTATAGGACACAGGGTTGGAAGGATTCTGAGAGACCAGGGATCCCCAATCCATAGGTCTTCTCTGTCTGAGGCCTGCAGACTTCCTGACAGGTGTCTGTAAACCCATATGGACATTAAGCACTGTTGGCCAACTGAATAAATTACTTGTTGCACATGGATGCACATCTGGTTAAATGCATATGGGTATTCTGCTGAGAGAGTAAACAAAAATTTATTTTAATAAACTAGACTCAGAACACCTGGATGGCTCCGTCGGTTAGGTGTCTGCCTTCGGCTCAGGTCCATGATCCTGGGGTCCTGGGATCGAGTCCCACATCGTGCTCCTTGCTCAGCGGGAAGCCTGCTTCTTCCTCTGCTTGCCACTCCCCCTGCTTGTGCTCTCCCTCTCTCTGACAAATAAATAAATAAAATCTTAAAAAACAAAAACAAAAAGAAAGACTCATTTGCAATTGTCATCTAGAAAATGCCAGCCAGCCTTCCACGTGATAATAGGCATAGTTTTAGCCCCTACAGGTCAGGAAAATACATGATAGTAAAAAATAAGTGTACATAAGTCGGTACTAAAGTTAACCCCAGAATGTGAAGGCCTTGACCCCTGGTTCAATGCTCAGGACCAGTGCCTGTCAAGGTAGTGCCCCATTTCCTCCCTAGCCCCCAATTTAGAGAGAGAACTACGGGTTACACAATTCCAGTGGAGGACCAAGGCCTCCCAAGGAATGCCTGACAGAATCGCCTGGATCTCAGGAGCTCTCCCACTCATTCGTCTGGTCATTCATTCCTTCAGTGAGGACTTAAGGACTGCCTCCAGCTCCGTGGGGTGTATTTAGCCATTGAGTGAAAGCAACACCTCCCCCCTTTTAAAGAGACTTTAACATGATGGAGTCAGAAGAGGTCCGATGGGTCGTATACATAGTCTTGCCCAGAATCCAAGGTCTGGAGTGGAAGACAAGTCCAGGGTCTTGCAGCAAGTTGGGGCAGCTCAGCAGGTGGAGTTCTAGTCTCCTAACTCCCGGTGCGGTACTCTCCTTCCCCCAGCATGGCCTCTGCGTCCCGCTAAGTGGAAGAGGGATTCGTGTATCCCAGTCTCAGGAAGCCCACGATGGCGTACGTACGCAGATGGCCATCCATCCTTGTTTTCATTCATATCTGGGGAGGGTGTCATGAAGCATCCTCAGAGGGTCCTGCCTAAAGCTGCCAATTGTTTGAATAGTTCAAGGGAGCTTGAGTTTAAAGCATAGCTTTTAATCTGGACTTTGGATTTCAAGACTTGCGATGTTCTGGAAGGAGAAAAAAAACATAGGTTTTAGCCATAGCCCCAAATACTTGTGGGTCCCACTCTGATAACAACAGACTTCTAATTAACATATCAACACAGCACACTAGTTGTCCCCTCTGGGTCTGGACTAACTCAGCACCTCCTCTCTGCAGTGCTCTCCCGGTCCCTTCTCCCCATCTACAGCCTCTCCATCCTCAAAGGTCAAAATCTATGCTTGCCAGCCCCCTGGAAAGCTTCCAGGACCAATGGCTTCACTGGCCTCAGTTACCACTAATTTGGCATTTTACTGGTACTTAATTTCATCATCAGGAAACATTCTGTCTTTTCCTATAGCGGAACCATCCACAGGCCCTCACAGCACCTTGCACAGCAGGGCCCAGTGGAGGTTCTCAACACCTATTGGTCGAATGAGTGAGTGAGCGAATGAACAAATGGTTAGTAAAACCAGAAGATGGAGCTAGGGCTACTGAGGATGT